TATAAATTTCAATCGTAAAATTCAGTTTAAATTTTAGTACTATATTCAATAATTTAACGCTTGTATAAGTTTTGAATATGTATACAGCTTTGCAGTTAACAACTTTTCTCTAGAAATATTTAAAAATACGGTAGTTTCATTAAGTATGGACATTGTTTAATGCAATAGTGGTACGGCTGACGGTTAACTTGTCAATGACAATCAAGTACTGTAGCATAGTATCTAAAGCTAGCATTTTAGCGATGACGATACAGTACTTTGATGTGATGCAAATTTTGTCAATTTCAAATTCATTAATATCGTTAACTTGCATTCGTTACTGCATCTGCATAGATGTTTTGATGTTGCACTAATAGTATGATATAATGATAAATACAACAATCACTGTAACAACAGCGACCAATTACCGTAGTAACAAGAGTTCAACTCTAAAATGGTGCATTTTACAGATGATTTTATTAATTTATATTCTTGTTTACCGTAATTATTCGTCCTACCTGAAAGGGTTTTTCACCGCTGTGTTGTCGTATATGTGTACGAAGAATGCTACTTGCTGTGAAACTTTTATTACAGTAGATACATTTGTATGGCCTTTCACCAGAATGTACTCGTAAATGCTGAAAAATTTTAGTTTTTGACAATATGGGTTAGACTGGTAAAGCAAATAATTCATAGAAATTATAAATGTAGTTTATAAGGGTTAGTGATTACTGAAATACATTTTCAGATGATTAGGTTTTATTTCGATTAGTAACTTCAGTAATGGAATTAATTTTTTGACAATACTTTAAACAAAGTTTAGTCTGTAATGAGCTCTTCACAACTCTGCATATTAATTCTAAGACTGTTAAAGATTTTTATTTTAAAATAATATTAAACTTTAATTGATCCACAAACATAGTTACTAGTTCTATTTTTTGTCATTAAACATTTTAAAATTGGCCTGAAATTGACTTTATTAAGACTTGATGACTGGGAAAACGATTTGCCACACGTAGAGCAGACATGTGGTCGATGATTTTCATGTACATGCAACACGTGAATCCTAAGCCGATCACGTTTCTCAAAT